GTCCGGTTCCTCGGGTGAGGAGGGGGAGGGGAGGGGGCGGGTGCAGACTTCGGAAGAGGGTGGGGTGCGCTGGAAGCCGGCTGTGGTGCTGGAGGCCCTGAGAGGGAAATCGGCAGGGTTGGAGGGGAGGGAGGCGGGAATGGGAGCCGGGCAGGGGGCTAGCCTTCCTTTCTACTTCTCTGGGCCGAGGGCTGCAGGGAGGTGGGAGCTTGCTGGTACTGGCTGGGCGGGGGCTCACCGGCCTGGGTCTTCACAGCTCCAGGGGAAAGCCGAAGCCGGCTCCGTTGGGGCCTGTCTCGGCTGCGGAAGGATAAGGGGTTATCACAACCAAACCTCTCCGACAGCGTCCAGGAGGACTTGGGTCACCAGTATGTGCCCAGTGAATCAGGTAATAGAGGCCTGCTGGGCGAGTCCCTCCCAGTCCCGGCGGGGGGGCTGGGGGTGTGTAGGCAGTCATTGCTGGGTGGGAGATGGGTCGCCTTGAGGAGCCCGGACAGAGTGGAAGGATCCTAGTCAAGAAAACAACAGCAGCAGCCGCCATTCATTATCAAAGCCAAGTGTTCTACTAAGCACTTTACAAGCGCTGCCCCCATCCAATCCTGCAACATTGTTTGGGAACTATTATCATCTTCTCTATTTATTTCAGGTGAGGAAGCAGGCTTAGTGACGCTAAGTATCTTGCCCAAGTCGCAGGGCTAGTAAGTGGAGCAGTCAGAGTTGGGCTGTGTGACTTCCTGCAGCCAGGTCCCAAGCGTGGCTTCGGGACACCATACTCATGCCCTTCTGTGTCTGGCCTCCTCTTCCCTGGGAAAGCCTAGAAGGTTTCTGTAACTCGCTGTAGTTTTGAAGGAGTACAGGATAGGGCTCCCCTGCCCCATAGTCCCCTTCAGATGTGTGTGCTTGAGTGAGTACCCAGAGACGCTCACCTTCTCTCCCAGCTGAGAGGACCACAGTCAGGATTGCGCCTCCAAGTCTCCATTTCTCTACAGCTTGAACACGCAACTCCCCATCCCCAACCTCCTTTTCCCCCATAGAAAGAAGGCACTTCTGCCTAGAAGAGCAGCTTTCGGGGCTCTTTGCTGGGGAAAAGGGGACTTGGGGTGTGCCCTGGTCTGTTTCTATGCCCGAGTGTCCTGGGGCTGCAGGGAGAGAGGCATTCTCCACCTGTGGTCACCCACCCCACACCTGGCTTGTAGTTAAGCACAAGCACAGGCTTTGGGAGGCTGGGTTTATCAGACCAGCACACAGGAAAGGAGCTGACCCACCAAGCCAGGCTGTGTGCAGGGCCTTTATGAGTCACTGGTTCTCTTCTTCCCCCGTTTCCTGGTAAACCTAAGAATGGTCCAGCCTTGCCTCAGCTGGGCTTGAAGGAATCGTGTCTGGTCTTGGCCAGGGCAAAGGGGGCTACAAGTGATTAAAAAGGAGGGAGGGAAGGCCAGCTGATGGCGAAAGGGTGGAGAAGGAGGGGGAAAGAAAGAGAACAGCCAGCAGAGAGGCCTGGGGACAGCTGATCCCTTCCCACCTGGGGCCTCCCCTGGGGCTCTGTTTTGCTTGTGCAGCTGATTTCCTGCTGAGGCAGTATCCCCTTACCTCATCCGCTCCCTGCTCCCCTCAGGAAGAAGGTTGTCCTAGTCCACTTTACCAACTAGAGCTGGCCCCTGGGGATGGGGGTGGGGCTGGCAGAGCTGGGCCCAGGTCACCTTTCACCTCTCCTCCCGGCTTCCCCCTCTCTCCCCTCTACCCAGTACTTTCACTTGGCCTGGAGGCAACCATTGACTAGAAACTATATTCACAGCCGGGCTCGGTGGCTCAGCCTGTAATCCCGCGCCTTTGGGAGGCTGAGGTGAGTGGATTGCCTGAGCCTGCGGGTTCGAGACCCGCCTGGGCAGGCGAGACCTCATCTCTACAATAAATCAAAAACTTTAGCCGGGCGTGGTAGCGCGGGGCCTGTAATTCCGGCTACTTCGGAAGGCTGAGGCGGA